CTGACAGTACTAAAATATACTGTACAGTATTAGTAAAATACTTCAGTCCCCGCTTTACAATACTGACTGCATGCGCAAAATCTCGATTCAGATCCTATTGATAACAGAATATTAATCTGTAAATATGCAACTTATATTCTTGTAAAATACTAACTCATTTAAGAAACCATTCAAGTATCATAAATATGTTTCATTAAAAAGAATTTGCTATATAATGTTGTTTAAATAATCAATAAAAAAAAATTGGCCAGGCCAACTTTAAATAAAAATGATTGATTGTCCTCTCCTGAAAGATTTGCTAAAAAAAAACACCAACTTAAAATTGTTTAAACCTCAAAAAAAGAAAAAGAAAAAAAAAAAAAGAAGACGAAGGCACATTTTTTTCAAGTAATCCGGAAATGACATTTTGAAATTCAGGGCAGAATTGATATTGAAATTCGGGGCGTTGGTAGTTCTACCATTCAACCCAAATACTTCATTACGAAACGCAGAGAACAAACAAACATTTTTTTTAAAGTTGGCCTTGTACTGTGTTTGACCCTCTTCTATCGTTTTACTAGTATATACTAGTTTTGATCAGACATTGATCTTTTGTGTCACCCTTAGTGACAGCCATTTGGTGCATATAATTGTCTTGTTGATTCTATAGAAAGACGACGCTTATCAGTAAATTTCTTTTATTGCAGTATCAAACTTGGGAATTCAGTTTCATTGAGTACAAAACAAAACACATCAACATACAAATAGTCATGATAACAAACATAATTATGCATTTAACATGTAACACATCATGATCATGGATTGGAGACAAATTTCTTAACTTTCTACAAACAACATTTAAGATATCTGAGAATGTTGTTGTTATTTGACTGTATAAATACAAGAGATCTTATAAAGTAGTTAAATGCTGAATTGGAAAAAAGGACTAATATTTCATTTCTCAATTTTGTTAAAATATCAATAAAATGCATACAAAAAAAAACTGTGGTCTAAAAACATGAAAATGAAGGGGAAAAATCTTGAACGAATTTCAAGGTACTTTCTTCTATAAGCTTAAATCTGAGTTTGAAAATTTAACAAGAGTGTAACTTTGTGTTTGGTAACTTTGGTTCATTTTCTCTGTACAAGAATTCTTGCAAACAATATACCATACACCATAATACAGAGTCTCAAGATGTATTATTTGTATTCACATATCTCCCTGAAAGCAAAGACATCATATGAACATAAACAGTCACGTATCCCGCTAAGCATTGATAATCCAGACACCACGCAGTACAGTTAAGGCAACACATGAAAAAAATATGGTAATGAAGTCATAATGAGGTCTGACGTCATGACAGTTGCTCCGCCCTGATTGATCCATATAAGGAAATGGTGCTCAAAATAACTATTTACCGATATTGGCAACAATTTGTAATAAACTACAATATCTTCATGTTTAATTAGAAAATAATTAGTGATTTTCTCGTTTATAAAATAGCATGTCTTTAAAATAATTCTCTCTTTAACGTGTCGTTTGTCTGCATTCGGCTTCAGCCAAGCGCTTGCACTCGGTGACACGGAATGTTGTTTACATCAAAAAACGTGGCGACATCAGCTGAGATTTGCAGTGGATTTAAATGCAATAACCACACAATCTTTACAGAAAATAGGGATAAAATAAGAGACAAGGTATTGCTGCTCCATTTTACAAGAATATGAGGACATTATTTCGGAAAATAGCTGAAAACTGAGACGATTTGCACCAGCTCTGGCTCCGTAGATCAATCACTGCACTGTATCCAGGCCAGGTATGTATACGCATATGTAGGTACAAGTGTAGATCTACAATATGTAGACATGCTTTTGTTAACATAAAAAAAAAACCGAGTGAGTTCATGTTCATTTAAATGCATTAGTACAGTCAGTGAAAAACTGTAATTATGCAGTGCCTTGTGTGTAACCCCCCCCCCCTTTACTAAATTGCACACTTTTTAGAATTATTTAAAATTAATTGCACTATATATATGTACTGAGTTTCTGTCAATTAGCTCATTTTCTTTGATACAATATGTGTAATAATGGAGATCATCAGTAGCACAAATTTAAACTAAATTGAATGAGATGTTTTCATAGTTTCAGTCAATGATTCACTAGTGACTAGGCCTAAACAAGCAATGATGTATTTTGACATACAAATATGCTACACAATTTAAAAAAAAGATATATCCGTAACATTGTGTTGAAAACATAAAAGTCCCACTTCAGATCTATGATTGTAATTTTCTAGAATTTCTAAATTAATGAAAAAAAAAATCATTTTTTGTTTAGATTACATGTACATTAAAAATACTTATATAATACTATTATCATTGTAGCTGTCCAGAGTTTCAGGCTTAAAGAGTGAATAAATAAAAAATGCATCATTTCTCCACAGGGTATGTATACTTCTAAAGCATTTCACATTTTCAAAGTTTGCATGTGCCTTACAGTTTACATATTGTTTTTTTTTTTCATTTTGGTAAAGGAGAAACTTAGAATTTTTTAATAGAAAATATTCTATCAATAACTATTGTAAATGTCAGAGGTTTCACTTTCCCAGAGAAGTTTTGTAACACATTTTTTTTCCATTTATATCAATAACATAAATTCACTACAATATACAATGTAGCATAATTTGTTTTGTCAAATGTACTGCCATTTTATCCTACAATGTATATTTAGTATTCTCATAGCATATAACTGCATATATATTGTGTTGCAGGCCTACCTATTTCCAGATGTTGGACAAATGGATTCATTCAACCAGCAAGTTCATCCATCATTTAAGGAAACTGGTATGCTCAATATAAGCTATAAACCATACAAAGTTTTGATACTATAACTAACAGAAGAATTGAAAACATGTGTAGCGGACAGTATAATTATAGGGAACTTATACTGCCTGGCCAGAGAGCTAGCTTTTCTGGTGATGTGGTAGTAAGAGTCTTCCTCTATTTCAGGCAAGTTAAGCAACGGCGAGCCTGTTTAACCCTTGGATGGGTGACCGCTTCACGTGACACATGTATGTAAATTCTATGTTAAATGTTTCCATGCATTTTTTTATTTCATTTTTTAAACACAAATTACTTTCAATAATGGTATTTCCTGATTTTCTCCTATTTTCAGAATTCATTTTATCCACAAGAACATGAGGTGGCGGAAATAATTTGCACCTGTCCAGCATTCCTACAGTCTGTCATTGGATTTAAAAAGAAATGTTTATTAAATAAATCTTCTAGATAAATAATAATTTGACTTTTTCATATATTTTTACTGTACAGGTGTTGAAAAGGCTATTAAGATTTGAAAATCTTAACTTACTTAATATTTTGTGCGGAGGGTACTAATGATCATCAAGATCTTATTTCCAGCATGTGCATTGTGTTCATTTATCTTTCAATAATATTACCAAAAACAGGAGATTAGAGATCCCCCTAATAGATTCAAAATAGGATATGGGGACCACCATTTGTTCTGAGGGAAGGGGGGGAGCAGGCGAGTTTTTCCAAGTTAGATTTTTTTTTTCATTTTCATGTCAATGAAGGACAGATTAATATTTATTTCCGGTCAATAAGATGAAGGACAGATTATTTATTTATTTTCCTCTTCATTGAAAATCATACATGCAAAAAAAAAATGTTAAAAAAACTCTGATTCATGGGAGGGGGAGATCACTGATCTGCAAGTATTTATTTTTAAATCTGCCAGTCCCTCACCCTCAAAATAAAATAGCTGTCCCCTTAACAAATACAGAAATATACCCCAATTCTTTCTAATTAGTACCTAAAACTTATAACTTAGTTTATATCCCTTAATTAACAGTTAAGAGGTCTGATTGAAAGCGATCGTAGAACATGACCTCGTATGCAGAAAGAAAAAAATATTAATACAAGTGTGTGTACCATAGGCGTCGGAAGCAAAATGAAAGGGGGCAGATTAAAAGGGGGGCTAAGCCAAAAGAAAAAGGCCAATGCCTACATTATGCAAATAAGTAGGGAGGCTAAGCCCCCCCCCTCCCCGGTTCCGACGCCTATGCGTACAGTAGTGAGAGAGGGGAATAGATATCTAATTAATTATTAATGAAGGCTATATTTAATTTACCATTTGTGTTCTACGTAAATATATCGGCAATATTTATACCTATTTGTGTGTAATACTACGTGTATATATACATCTTTGAGGAAATGCGGGAGGTTTGAAAGACATTAAACATGTTAAATGTATACATGGTATGGAGAACGAATACATAGAAAAGAAAGAAATGTCAAGAATTTTTATGCATACCGTTTGATTTACCCGGTAGTAAAAAAAAGAGCCCAGCCCTGCCCGCATGTATATTTATTTTATATTTACGAGGTAAACAAACTATATCAAGTACTCAAGAGTTATCTCCCATGCTGGATCAGTGATGCGTTTGAAAACTAAAATTAGATTGACTCTTCCAAGATTTCAATTTTTAATCAAAAAGTGCAAGGGCATGGCGACAATCTAAAAAGTAGGTTTTTATTTTAAATTATTCATTTTATTGTATAGTTTTCAAAAAGTGATGCTCATTTATTTGTATTCCTTTAGTTAATTTATAATTCGTGATGAAATTAGGAAAATATCCTATTTTTCATACATTACTGTCTGTTTTAGCTCAATAACTTAATTATATCGGAAAACTAACTGAATGAGCATCACTTTTGAGAAAGTATAGATAAATAGAGACAAGATAAAACATTGTGCAGTTAATTTTTTGTTTCTCTTGCCCTTGCACTTTTTGGTTAAATTTGACATCTCATTTTTTGACCTAAAATCGGAGCCCACGTGACTTCTGGGGGTCACATAATGTCAAAAAATACCGATGTTAAAAGCAATGGACATACTCTTCAAGATCACAAATAGCTATTTTACCTAGAGTGTCTTGCAAAAAAAATAAAACTGTGAAACATAATATGTATCGGATTCCGTGAGTTTTTATAGAAAATGTTGCCTTAACTGTACTGCGCACTGTCTTTCACATGAACAAGAGGTCTGCTGATGACACTTACATGGAAAAGCTGCTGTCCTAGTACATTTTCCTGGAAGAGGAAATACTTTCCAACTTTTTCAGCAATTGGATACACATCTACGATAACCCAGTTTTGGACTGCTCCACACAATACATGTTCAAGAAAAAAACATATTCGTTCAAAAAGAAGTCCACCACTTCCAGGAAGTTTGACGATTGACGGTTCTCTGCGTCCCTTGAATCTGGTTCCAATATAGCGGATCTGTCGGCCACAATCATCTGTAATGTCCAGTGTTGAATAGTTCTCCGTCACTTCGGATGAAAACTGCACTGTGCTCAACTTGAGGTTTAGAAGATAAAAGTTCATCATGAACTGTCTCATTTCTGGTGTAATTTGGGATGTGGTATTCTTCTTTGTGTGGTTTTCTTGAGAAGAAACACTGAATCCATCTCTCATCTGTTCCATGATCTGCTGACTAGTTTTTACAAGGGTCTTTTCATTGATGGACAGGTCGCCAGGGTTGAACCTTCCACTCAGTATCATATATACACACCAGTCGTAGATCTAAAAACCAAAATAGTAGAGTAAATAAACCAGCTTTGGAAATGAGGATATTTTCTTTAAACTTTCCATGATGACCATTTGTGGCCAATTTCTTATCATGTACAGTGCGATATTAATTAACAGTATTAAGAAACATAAAACTGAACACAATACCTTATTTCTTAGACATAACAAGATAGTTAATAAGGCAATTTGTGGGGAAAAATATTTAAAAAAAATTTGATTAAAATAAACTCAAAAATTTTAATCCTGAGAATTTTCCTCTAAATGCTTAATTCACAAAATATGATTTTTGTATGTGTGAAGCTAAAGGCATTCTGCAGGCCTTGTTCACTTATCTCCTTTATCACAAAGACATTTCACGTGTACTTTGCTTGCACTTGTTTCATATTGTCTGCTTATAATACAATAAAGATTTTTTAAAAATTAAACTTACTGTGACTTTTAGCATATTAGATGATCATATATGTACTTTCATGCTAAACTGTTGAAACTGTTTGACATTTGACCATTTATTAAGCTAAAAATGGTATATATTGTCAACATTATATTAAGATCGACTGTATTAAAAAGGTTGAATCAATGGTACTCATCAAAATTTACGACTTACCACATATGTTTCCATGACTGTGGATTCCTCCATTCCCTTCCTTAGACACTGTCTTGTCACCCATCCATTAGCCCTTTCATAAGGAAACAACCATCGACCATACATGGGTCAGTAGTTTGCCAAATCATCCACAATGTGGTGAATGAGATGAGTAGTAAGGTTCTGAAATCCAGATTAAAAATATTATTGCTATGTCCCTGGTTACGAATAATTGATAGGAAAAAAAATAAAAAACAATCTTTTAAAATTCAGTGTCCCATAACTAAAAATATTGACTTAATTAAGCCCTCATTCTCTTTTAACATCGTTACAATTGATTGCAATATCTCATTTCAAAAGTTTTTAAATAGTAATTTTTTTTGTATATTTTGAAGCCCAAGAAAATCTACTTTGAATATGGGCATGTACTGATATTCATTTGTGCAAATTACATATATAATATTTTACCTGAATTGCCAAAGGAAAATCTCTCTCTAGAAGTGATAGCGCTTCATGTGTGTCTGCCTGGAGCTGGGCAATGTCCAGAACGGTCAACTTGGGCGACACAATTCTTCTTATAACACCGCAGATGTGTTCCAGAGTTCTTTCTTGAGTAATAGGAAGAAGATCTTTGATGCACCATTCAAAAGCCCCAGAAGTGACAAACTGCAAAAATACAATATCAACAAACCATTGTAAAAATCACAAGTAAAATTCATGACGATTTTGAAAATATAAACATACATATGTACTTATCCTCTAAAATTATTTTGATTTTATCTTGCTTCTTCTATGTAAACAATGGTTTAAAAAAATAATTTCCCACATGCCTTAGAATTTATATTTCAGCGACATATTCCACTAGCTCATAAAAATACTTGTGTGTAATTTCTTGATGACACTTTTAAAACATTTTAAACATAGAAAACAAACAGAGCACTTTTCAGATTTTTTTTACACTCTTAATAGCATATTACTACCAGGTATTATACAAAACATATTAACATTCATTGTCCTTAAGGTCCATAGCTTGGTAAAATGTGGCCCAGGGGTAATTTCATGTGAGTGGCTGTACACTATGGAGGAAGCTCTTTCGTCTGCAGTTTTAATCTGCTCCTTCGAGAGTGACCATGGTGTTGAATCAACTAATGTCTGTTCACTTTCAACATTTCTTTTCTTCTTCTTTTTTGGGCGATCAATACTTGCTTGCTCCCCGGCAGCACTTTTCCATACTTCATCAAAGCGACCAAAACTCTTTTCGCAGGACATAACTTTTTCTGTATTCTGCTTACCAACTAGCATTTCCATCAGATGACTAATAAAGTCTGCCAAGGTATGCATCCCATCTGGTGACATTTGTCTCCTCCTGTCATGGTAAGGAAGCTGCTGTAGAATATAATTTCCTTTCAACCCTGTTGACTTCTGTTGGTTTGCTTTCTGTGTTTTGTTTGGTTTCAATTCATACTGGGTTCGCATTCTGTTCTCCTCCTCCTGAGTATATGGACTTGGTTTGCTTCTTTCTTCTTGTCCATCTATGGCAAATCCACTGGTACTCCTCAGAGGATGACCAAAGGGAAGAAACTGTCTGTTTGAAATGTGAATCGTCTTCCTCAAGTGCTTACAATAATGTCCTGTTTCTCTACAGTACGGACAAGATCTCAAACTTGCATGGCCGGTCAAATGCATCACGTTGGAATAGGCTGGTATGTCACACAAATACTGCAGGAGTGCCACTTTAACTGTCGTTGGAGCTGAGCGGTAAGAATCATACACTGGGAACTCTGTTAGAGTTAAAAGTTCATCTACCACGATGGATAGGTATGGATCCAATGACTTTGGTTCGCTGCCATTTACACCACTTGGTATAATTCCCATAAGGAGCATTGGTCCAAGTAATTGTCGGATTGATGGGGGCAAAGTAATCCATGTCAACATGATGGGCCACATGGACTTTTGACAAGCACTGTTCTTGTTTGGATTCACACCATCCGTAAACAACGAGAGTGGCACACATGACTCTGGATTCTTATTTTCAAAGATCTCTCCAGGTTCGAACCATGATTTGAAAAGTTCACCATCTGTGAAGTCACCGAGAATGCCATCTCTTCTTACTTGAAGTTTCTCTGCATACAGAAGTCTGCATAGGTTGGGCGTTCCATACCATCTTGCTAGCCTTGGTCCAAGTGGCATGTATGTAAAGATTTTCCTGCTCTTTCTGGGCTCACTACATACCGGACAGTCACTTAGATCTGAGTAAAGAAGGGCTCCAGAATCCCGATAAACAATACAGTCATTCACACATGCATCATATTTTTCCAGCGGGATAAGGAATGGAGAAATAAATGTCTTTGCCTCCTTGTATGTCCCAGGCAGATAATTTGGTTGTGGCAAGGATGACTTTTCACACTGAAGAGTGTCGGAAAGTGCTGTCTTGGACGTCCCATGGTTCATAGAAAAGGTATACAGGTGCTTGGTCACTGCGTCCAATACACTAGTGGTTGAACCCTCATAGAGTGGCTGCTGATACCTCTTCTGTTGGTACACATCTAAGGACAGGTCAAATCTTGGCTTTAATGCAGATGTAAAATTGTTTGTGATAGTCTCTTGATGTGAGTAGAAAGTGTGCTTGGAAACCCATTCTCAGTGACCTTGATTTGCCAGAGAGACCTTTGTCAAGGTCATAACACAATCTCTAACTATAAGTAATCTATGTTTGAAGTACGAGCCTCCAATGATTTTTATTTACTAATTTGTAGCGCGGAAAAGAAAATATTTTTTCTGTCAGTGACCCTGATCTTGAGCTACGGATTAATCTTGGATCTGTGTCAACACAAACCCTCAATCTCAAACAACTTTTAGTGATTAGAAATTCATAAGCCTAACAGGAATTTTACATCTTTTTCTGTCAGTGACCCTGAATTT